CCCGGGCGGCATCTGGGTGCGGGATACACGTGTATGCCAACGGGGACCGGTACGAGGGAGAATTTTACCAGGGCAGATGCTCGGGCAGCGGAGTATACATATTTTCGGGCAGCGGGCGGTATGAAGGCGACTGGGTGGATGGAAAATACGATGGGTATGGGATTGAGACTTGGTCGCAGGGGAGTCGATATCGAGGGCAATACAGGAAGGGGCTGAGGGAGGGGTATGGGGTGTACCGGTTTTATACCGGGGATGTGTTTGCGGGGATGTGGGCTAAGGGGCAGAGCCATGGGGTGGGCGTGCAGACTTGCGGCGATGGCAGCAAGTATGTCGGGGAGTTTGCGTGGGGCGCCAAGCATGGATTCGGCAAGTATACTTTCAGGTGGGTGTGACAGCAGGGTTTGAGGTGAGAGCATTTGTTGGGGTGAGAGCAATTTATCAATAGTGATTGTTGTGGCATGACCATGATTTGACACCACCCCCACACACACACTCTTTTTTTTTAACGTCTCCGAGCACACATGGGCCTGGGGTGCGTAACCCCAGCAGCAAGAACCGCTGCTACAATGGTGCTCCACAGTGCAATGAAAAATCCGTTCTTTGCTTATTTCCTCTTATCTCCTACACCAACCTCTTACCTCGACCGACTTTTTGAACTGTCCTCCAAACACCCCACACCAGGAGCGGCAGCACCTTTATGGACGCATACTTTGCTGACGCATGCATAGGTATGGGGTATGAGGGCAGGCCACTATGGTCTCTCACCCCTTTCTTTCCCCAATCACCCCCCCCACCTGAAATGGAGACACATACGCAGGAGAGTACGTTGCCGACCGCATGCACAGGTACGGGTTTTATGAGTTCAGCAACGAGCATCGGTACGAAGTGATCCCCACTTCTCTGTTTCCCCAACCCCTCCCCACCAGAAATGGAGACACATATGTAGGAGAGTATATCGCGGACTGTATGCACGGGTACGGCGTGTGTGCGTTCAGCAATGGGCACCGGTACGAGGGCAGGCAGGCATGCCACTATGGTCTCTCACCTCATTCCCCAAACCACCCCCCCTTCCCCCATCAGGAACGGCGATACCTACGCTGGGGAATATTTCGCAGATCGCATGCACGGGTACGGGGTGTATGAGTTCAGCAACGGGCACCGGTACGAGGGCGCGTGGCACGAGGGGCGCAAGCAGGGCCTGGGCATGTACACCTTCCGCAACGGCGACATGCGCGCCGGCTACTGGCACCTCGGCGCCCTCGAGACCCGCAGCACCAACACCCTCCCCGCCTCGCCCACTGGGAGCGGCTCGGGTGGAGGGGGGATGATCGGGACGGTGGGGGGTGGGGGAGGTGGAGGGGTTGGGAGTGGTGGGGTTGGGGGGCCGGGCGGGGTGGGGGTTGGTGGTGGGGAGAGTGGGGCCGGGGGAGCGGCAGGTGCATTGGGTGGTGGGGCAGGGGCAGGGACAGGGGGAGGAGCGGGGATGGCGGGAGGGGTGGCAGGAGGGGCGGCAGCAGGGCCGGGAGGAGGCCCGGGAGTGTCGACAGAGTTGCTGGGAGGAGGAGGGGGAGGCAGTGGGTTGGTGTCGCCGGTACGGACTCCTTTGTCTGCTGGTGGGATGGGGCTGTCCACGCCACTAACGCCGCACACGCCGCACTCGGCCTCGTCACCCAACGCTGTCAACCACTCCCGCGTGCTTCATGCCGTTCAGGTGGGTAATTGGATGGGTTCTCAGGTGCTTCATTCCGTTTAGGTGGCTGTCCAGGCTGATCAAGAGGGTTCTCAGGCTGTCCAGGTGGGTGCTTGGGTGCAGCATGCCGTTCAAGTGGGTGCTCCGGTGCGTTTGTAGAATGTTTCTCAGGTACTAAAGCATGTTGTACCTCACCCCTTCTCAGAAGTTCCCTGCCTCTCCCCTTCCTTTGATCTGCTTATTATTCTCCAGGAGGCACGACGGGCAGCAGCAAAGGCGGAAAATGTGTTGAGAGTGGATGACAGGGTGTCTAAGGCAGTGTCTGCAGCCAATCGAGCCGCCGTGGCTGCTCGAGTAGCAGCTGTAAAGGCCAACCAGAGAGGGTCGAATCATTCATGATTGTATGCTGCGGAAATTTGTCGTCAGGGTTGGTCAAACCACTCATTCAATGTTTGGCGCTGGAATAGTTGAAAAGAAACTGTTTTATGGTGCACAGATTCATGTGTAATTATGGATGAAGAAATACTTCCATTTGCTTAGGCTATTTGAAAGACGTGGTGTACATGATTATGCTTTCTCAAGGTTCGTCTCGTAATGGGTGAACCGGGAATCACGCGAGTGTTGGAATGAAATCTTGGGCTGCCCGTCCCCATCCCCATCAGATTATCCTCAGGCCACAAAGGCAGGTGAACTGTACAGAACACGAGCAAGACTGCAACTGTTCACCACCACACAATCTCATAAATCGCCGTGGCAGGCGCTGTATCCACTGCAGAACCAAATCTTCATGCCACCACCACACACCACAGCACCGCTAGCCCAATCACTTCTCCGCAGCGTCACCACCATCACCATCTGGCCTGTATGTTGACTGAACTTCCTGGAACCGCGATGACGTGTTTCTGTGATGTCCTGCAGTAAGGACGTGGGCCCAATCTAGTTTGATCGCCTAGATCACACGCGATCAAGAACTTCCAGGAAGCCTGGAAGCCAATTTCACGCACTCGGGGGCAATCAGCTGATCGCAATCAACCGATCGCTCCAATCAATCAGACCCAATTTTCAGCCCGATCAGAGCCGATTTTCCTCGATCACAGGCGATCACCTGATTGCTTGTGATCCAGGCTCCCAGCGATGCTTGCGACTAGTTACACTGTTGCTCTTACAGGGAAACTAAGATTTTCGCCAGGTGACGTCTGGTCGCCAATCTCGCTAGAATGGGGACGACAATGCTAGGTAGATGTGTCGCGCTTAATGAGCAGGCGCTGAAAACATTATTAAAAAAATATCACTGATCGGGCGGCTCAGGCACTGCGATCACAAGCAACCCGATCAGATCCAACCCGATCAAATCAGTCGCAAGACGTGGGCCCAATCGACTTTGATCGGATCGGATCGGATCGGATCGGATCGGGTTGGGTTGGATTGGATTGATTGTGATCGCTTTGCTCGCGCCGCCCGATCAACGCTGGATTTCCTCGGAAATTCTACGATCTTGCATGACAAGCGTGACCCCATTAGCTGGTAGTTTCATACCACCTTTGGCGAGACGGGCGAGCCCAATGTATCATGGTAATGTCGCAAACATCGCAATGCACACTAGGAGTGCTCTAGAAGCAGCTCGAATGAAGTTTGATCGGGTGGCAAAATGATCGCTATAACATACAGTTCCCGCTAGTCTGTATGTATGAGCGAGAGATTTTAGATTTCTCGAGGTAAATGTGTAACTTTTTTCGCCTGCGTCGCCCATGTACCCAATCACGAGCAATCAAGTGATCGACTTTGATTGTGTATGATCATGTTTGATCGGGCTGTTTCAGGCGGTTGATCGAGTTGGAGCGATCAGTTGATTGCGACCCTAAATGCCCGCGATTGCCTGAAATCGGCTTCCCGGCTTCCTGGAAATTATTGATCACCTTTGATCGAGCTGTTCAAAGTCGATTGGGCTCCCGTCCTAAGGACGTGGTGCAGATCGGGAAACAAGCAAAGTTTTGGGTCGCCCACTTACACAGTAGCCCCTTCTGACGTTCCCGATTCTTCCATGGTCTTCGTCCAAGTTCTAATATCGCGATATATAATGATTCTGCGAGTAGTGCTGAGTTTCGACAGAGTAGGTTACTGTTCGCAACTGTCGCCAGGCCCCGCGATCTCAAACAATCTATCGATTGCGATCGATTGCGTGAGATTGGGGCGATCGATCGGGTTTTTGATCGCAATCGAGAGAATGCCCTCGATTGCATGCAATTGCCTCGAAATACCCCTGCGGCTTCTCAGAAATGGTGGATGCCCCAATCTGAGGCAATAATCGGGCCGATCTGCACCACGTCCTAACTCACTTCCCTAGCCCAGACTTGGAGCCTGCTGTCGTTTCTTCCCTCCCGCCGAACCTGCTGCCTGCCACGCCGCTGCTCCAGCCGACCAATCGTGTCACAATCTTTGGTGGTCGCTTCTGCCGCAGTGTTCATGACTGTAGGGAGGCTTTTGGTCGCTGAAGTTGACCTTTTCGACACATGTAGGGTTCGTGTACTTGACTGTCTATTACAGTACACCTGAATATTCTGTAGCGACATTGGTTATGTCTGCGTGTACAGTATGGCCGTTATCAGCGTTGGACAATAAAAAAAACTCCACACACCTGAGCGTTTGGCAAAAAAGACCATAGATTTGAAACACCCCAGCCTTTTTGGGGGGGGGTGACAAGTTTGCGAGCTAACCCGATCTCTCCTCTCCGCCCCTCTTCTCCCCTCACCTCACCACACTGCCGTGGCGTGGCGTGGCGTAGCCTTGTGGTAGGCACTCCATTCGTCGCCGCCTGACATCAGCCCCTCACTTTCTCCTCACATTCCCATTTGTTCTCCCGTTTCTCAACTCGCCTTACAGAACTCACTCCAAACACAGAAGCGAAACGAATGAGCTTGCCTTTCAAGCTGGCAAGCTACGTAAACTGTAACCTGTACGGAGCTGAACGACCTTGTTTTTTTCCCGTTCCTCATGACCCAATTCCTTCGCTTTCGTTTCTATTTGTCTGAAGTGCTCAAAACCCTGTGTACAAAGACGTGTATGTGATTTCCATGATGTTGTAGAAACTACTGGTATTCACATCACCTGATCACCAGCAGGCGGCTTTTCCAGCCTGGAGCATCTTGTTCGAGTCGTCCGATGAAGGTAGCGCTGCAAATTTCAATCTCGCTCACGAATAGAATTGCAAGGTCTTTTGATTCGCAGCATCTCTCCTGAATTGAGCGTTTACACCGCTGGGATCACATATCGTGGACCATTTATCGAGGGCATAGACACCGTCTTCCTGTTGATGGCACTGTTTTCCGCCTGCGGCGGCTCGGCGCTTCCTTTCTTCCTAGGGCTGGGCTGTGCCACGTGTTCCTGCTCCTTCTGCACGGGCCTCGTGCTCGTCACGTGCGGCGACAGCCTCTCCTCGCCGCTCAGCGCCGCCCCCGCCGGAGCACCGCGTGATAGAAAATCGTACGCGACGCGCAATTCCCTTAACGGATCTTATATCGGAAGCAGCGCCGCATTCGACGGGGGCTCGTCGTTTGGAGGGAGCGATCTTGTTTTCTCAGCAGAACAGGTCAGCCGTCGTGATAATGTTCCAGATTCCAGAATTACGCATGTTGCTGCAGGTCTGGAAGCCCGCAGGTCTGGAAGCCAGTGGGCGGTCCGTTGTTTCTGGCGTGCTGGAAACTATCAAACAGGTTCGCGATCTCGCCGAAGAAAAACAAGTATTCGTGAGTTTTCGTCATGGAATTCAGCTCGTTAGCCTGACGAGGATACACGTGGCTGTTTTCTGCCATTTATCAGAACGCCTTGTGTTAACTGCACGTCGAGTTTCTTGTGCCATTGTCGCATGCCGCAACTTTTGAAACTTCTGAATATTTGATTTTGAATTGACGAATCCGATCTAAACGATCGCTAGCCGCGGGCTTGTATTGTTGCGTCCCTTTCCCATCTCGACCCCCTACCCTCTGTACTCGCTTTCCTCACCCTCCCCTTCTCCTTCCCCTTTTTCCTTCCTTCGGCCCTCCCCTTCGCACCTCTCCCTCCACCCCTCTACGCACTGTCCGCTTGCCACAGCCGTGGACAGCGGATCAATACGCGGCGTATCTCACGCGCGCTGCCCCGTCAACAAGTCGAATGTCGCGGTTAGCAAGCGATCAACATCATTCCCATTCATTACGGTCACCAGGCGCTCTCTCCCATTCGCTGCTGTCGCCGGCCTCCCGTGCGTCGCCTCTACACTCTCCCTCGCTCCAAGCGTCGCTGCTGTCGTCGCGGCAATTCCGGTCCTTGTCGAGTTCATGAGCGTGGGGGAGCTACGACGAGGCCAACACACTGACTAGACACACGAGACAGGTACTTGGTCGCAACAGATTTCACTACTACTAACGACCAGGATTTGATGCTTGTGAAACTGACAGTGTCTCTGAACCCGTTCGCTCTCTTCCCATCCACGCTACCCTATAAGACAGCCCTCCCCACCTCTCCCCCACTCCCTGTCCTGCCTCTCCCAACCTCGTGCACACATTGCTCCAAGCCCCCTTGTCAGCGGCTCGGCTTTTTTTTTATTTCTTACGTAAGTTGCTAGACTTACAATGACTTCTGAGCCAGCTATGTCCAATTGTCGCTCCTATGCTCCCAGTGACTACTGGTTTCTAATCATGCGCCTTTCTTCTGTCTCTACGTTGCTTGCAGGTTACCCCCTTGTCAATCTTGCACACTTGTTGATTGTAAGTTAAACAGCGTAGTCAGATATTTATCAATACGGCTGTATGCTATGGGCATCTTTGTAATCTATACACCAATAATGTCTTAATGAAACAAGGAACATGTACGTGGAAATGAGTCGGTTCCCTATCCCACCGATTTCTGGAAGACTAACATTCATACCCGTGGATTATATATCTGCCAGTTGTAGAGACCGTTCACCCCGTTACAATGCTTCAATCAACACAGCCCCTTCGCGGTCCTTCTGTGCAAATCAGAGAGCTTCGGGGCCAACGATATGGGGAGCACACATGACGTTACCGTCCATTTGTCGGAGATTAAGGTTTCGTTGCCTCGGAATCTGACCGAGGCTCCGCCCAAGCGATCATCTGGAGCCCCCAAACCGAGGCCTGGAGCCAGAGAGGTTGCTTGCTGCGATTCCCTTGGGAACTCCCCGAACCTCGGGAATCCCCAAGTTTGGTCATTCAGGCATTGCAGTCAGCAATTTCATCCTAGAACTCCTCCCCACCAGGTAAATAGGCCCATACACCCTGTGGTGTGGACATTCCCTTAGTTCCTGCAGCTTCTGCATCTCGCACTCTTGGCAACCTGAAAGCGTGAATGTAAACACCTCCGTCTCCGTGGAAGAAATACATAAATATTTATTACTACGCGCTTTCCCGTATTGTCTCTCTCTGGCAGAGAGCTTCTTTTTGCTCGTTCGCCTGCGATGTCGCAGGAGCTCGCGAAACCCGTTAGCCTTCTGCGAGGTAGTCCGTCCATCTCGCTGCTCACCGTTCTCACCTCGCTCCTCCGCAATGGCAATGTCGCGCGAGTCCCAACCCGAGCGCCGCGATCCGTCAGCTCAGTGCGGTCCAGGAGTAGGAACATGAGCGCAAGAGCCCTTCAGGGAAATAGCGCAAGAGCCTTTCAAGGAAATACGCATGGGGTTACTTGGGTGACTCCGTCGCTTCTTGCTGCTTCCGGCCCGTCCTCGTCCTCCTCTGCTCCCCGTCCGTCTCGCCGGCCAACCACAGCCGTCCGTGCGGGCAGTGGGATCAGCCACGTGGACGGTCTGGATCCGGAAGAGTTCAAGAACGCGCGGATCACGGTGACGGACGACGGTATTATTTTTTCCGTGGTGGACGACGGTGAATCGGATAGGGAAAACGAGGTTCCGGAGGAGGTATGGGAGAGGGAGGAGGGGACAGAGGGGGAGGAGAGGTCGGCTGTGGGTGGTGTGGAAGAGGAGGGAAGAGATGGTGCTGTGAGTGGGGAAGACGAGACGGAGGAAGAGGAGGATGAAGGGGGAGAGGCAGCGGCGGGGGTGATGGAAGAGGCGCAGAGGGTGATGGAAGAAGCGGCGAAGCTTCTCAGCGTGGCGGAACGACCCGTGGTGGTTGATGTGGCCGTGAGTGACAGTGAGGAGGAGGACGAGGGGGAAGCGGAAGAGGATAACGAGGGGGAGGAGGAAGACGAGGAGCAAGAGGAGGACGAAGCGGAAGAGGCGGAGGAGGCAGAAGAGGAGACACTGGCGATGGGAGCAGAGGAGCAGGTGGGTGGGCGAGACGGCAAGAGGGAGGAAGAGGCGGTAGAGGCGTTAGAGGAGGAGGAGCCCCTCGTTTATGACCCACCACCGCAGGCGGACTCGAATGTGGATCTGGAGGCGACCCTTGGCGCCACTGCTGCTGGTAGCAGTGCCGTTGCTGACAGCAGCTACGGTGCCGAGGGTGGGCAGGACGGCAGGGGGGATGTAGAGGCGTTGGAGGAGGCGCCTATTTATGACCCGCCAGCGTCAGTGGATTTGGGTGTGGGTCTGGAGAGGACGCTTGGCGATGCTGATGCTGCTGGTGCCAGCCTCGTTGCGGACAGCAGTTATGGTGCTGGGGATGGCTTTGGTGCTGATGTGAGCTCCGTTGGTGATGTGAGCTACAGTGCTGATGTCAGCGATGGTGCTGGGGATGGCTTTGGTGCTGATGTCAGCTCCGTTGGTGATGTCAGCTACAATACAGGTGTCAGTTATGGTGCTGATGCGAGCTACAGTACCGATGTCAGCTACAGTGCTGATGCGAGCTATAGCACAGGCAGCAGCTACAGTGCTGGCATCAACACCAGCCTTGGCAGCAGCACTTTCGGCAACAGCAGCACCCGTGGCAGCACACTTGGTGGCACGGAGGTGGATCTAGAGGAGGAGGAGAGGCGCGTGGCAGAGCGGCTCAAGGCCCTGGCAGGGTTGGCACTGGGGGGAGAAGAGGGAATAGCAGTGAGGGGAGAGGATTCAGGGTTGGGTGAAGTGAGGAGGGAGGAGGCCGTGGGACGGCAGGAGGCAGAGCAGGCTGCAAGGATGGAGGAGATGCGTCTGAGAGCAGAAAGTGCAGCGGCTGCTGCGGTTGCGCAGCAGCAGAGAGAGGCAGTAGCTGCAGCTGAAGCAGAATCAGCATCAGCAGCGACAGCAGCAGAAGCAGAAGCAGCAGCAGAAGCAGCAGCAGAAGCAGAAGAAGAAGCAGCAGCAGCAGCAGAGAGGGAGAGGGAGTTAGAGGAGGCTGCTGCGAGGGAGATGCAGGAGAGGAGCAGGCAGGAGCAGCTGCAGAGGTTAGAGGCAGAGGCAGAGGCACAGGCAGAGGCGGAGGCGGAGGCAGCAGCAGCAGAAGCAGTGGCAGCAGAGGCAGCAGCTGCAAACGCATTAGCTGGAGAAGCAGCAGCAGCAGCAAAAGCACTGGCAGCGGAAGCAGCAGCGGCAGCAGCAGCACAAAGGGAGAGGGAGTTTGAGGAGGCTGCTGCGAAGGAGAGAGAGGCTGCTGTGAGGGAGATGAGGGAAGAGAATAGGCAGGAGAAGCTACGGGCACTGCAGGCAGAGCACGAGTTTGTCACAGCTAAAATGTTCTTTTACCCTGAGGCCGGGCAGGTCCGGGCAGGCGAAACCGTGGATATTTTTTTCCACCGCCCGGCAAGCGTGCTGAAAGAAAAGGCTGGGATTTTTGTCGTAGGTGCTTTTAACGAGTGGCAGTGGGAGCCGTTTAAGTATGAGCTGAAGCCCTCTAACGAGGTGGCAAATGACTGGTGGACGTGCAGCATGACTATACCGAAGGAGGCGTATCAGATGAACTTCGTTTTCCACAGCAGTGATAACGTGTATGAGAACAACGAGGGGCGGGATTTCTACATCTCAATAGATGGGGGCATGGGAGAGGATGAATTTGAACGGTTCTTGAATGAGCAGAAGCAGAGGGAGGCGGAGGAGAGGGCAGCAGAGGAGGCGGAGAGAGAGAGGAAGGCAGAGGAGGAGAGGAGGGCCGCCCTGCTGCGAGCCCAGCAGGAGGAGGAACGGGCGACGGCCCGAGCCGTGGCTGATGAGGCTCGGCAGAGGCTTGGGCCGATATGGGAGAATGCAGGGGCGGGAGAGGAAGGGGTGTGGCGCCTGGAGGTGAAGGAAGGGGCGGAATGGGGAGGGAAAGTGGCAGGGGAAGGAGGGGGGGTTGAGAAGGGGGTGGTGGTGAGGGTGGAGTATAACCGGGCGGGTAGGCCCCTGGCAGGGGCGGGGGAGGTGTGGCTGCATGCGGGGGTGAATGGGTGGCAGGGCGGCGTGTCTGTTGTGGAGAAACTGGAGTGTGTTAATAACGAGGATGGCGACTGGTGGGCCGTGGAAGGTGCGTGGTTGATGGTGGTGGATGAAATGTTAGTGTAACTTTTTTATTATCAAAAAGGACATCAGGGTGCGGACAAAACCCTCTGGTTGCATGGAAGGCTGCCTGCCTGCCAGACTGACTTTTGAGGCGACTCAAAAGTCACTTCTGATTCTCAAAAAGGACATCAGGGTGCAGACAAAACTCTCTGGTTGCATGGAAGGCTGCCTGCCTGTCAGCCTCATACACACTCACTTCCCTCAATTCAAACCTTCCCACTTTCACCATCCCGCTGATGCAGTCACTCTGCCCCAAGCCGCTGTGGCGCTCAACCGGTTGTTTGCAGGTGGGCTATTGTTGACACGCGGGGCAACAATAGCAGCAAGACATGGCCCCCTATTCACCCCTTCCATTTCCCCCATCCCTCTAATGCAGTCGCTCTACCACAGGACGCAGTGGCGCTCAACTGGGTGTTTGCGGATGGGCCAGTGGGGAAAGCAGGCGCGTGGGACAACAACAGCCGGCGGGACTTCGCGGGGCGGATTGGCGATGCGGAGCAGATTGAGGCCCTGTTTGAGGGCATGGCGGCGGAGTGTCTGCAACGACTGGAGAAAGAGAGGGAGGAGCGGGATGCGAAAGAGGCTGAGGAGGTGAGTGGAGAAGGGATTCGGGGGGGGGGGGGGGGGGGGGGGGGAGGGGGCAGAGCGGAGAAAAGTGAGGCTCTGATGGAGAAAAGTGAGGCTCTGATGGAGAAAAGGGGGAAGAGTGTCATTATTTGGAGGAAGATTTTGGGACTAGCTCTGATGCGACTGCAGCAGGATTGGGACGCGAGGGAGTCTGATAAAGAAGGGAAGGGTAATTCGTCATGGCCAGGAGGATGTGTAGATATGGTGGGAGCCAGGCACGCGCGGTGTTCACTGGATCAACACTCTGCCTGCTCCTTCCCGTCCCGTGCCCTCCTCACGTGTCACAAACCTCTCTGTCCGCCCATCCACAGCCAGCGCGGCGTGCAGAAGTGAAAGCAGCCATGTAGGCACGCACCAAGGCAGTGTTCCTGCAGTCGCAGGCACACGTGTTCTTCACTGAGCCTGCAATACCAACTCCTTTCTCCCTTCCGTTTCTCCCATCCCATCACTCACAACAGGCAGCGCGGCGTGCGGAAATCAAAGCAGCCATGAAGGCACGCACCAAAGCAGTGTTCCTGCAGTCCCAGGCACACGTGTTCTTCACTGAGCCTGCAATACCAACTCCTTTCTCCCTTCCGTTTCTCCCATCCCATCACTCACAACAGGCAGCGCGGCGTGCGGAAATCAAAGCAGCCATGAAGGCACGCACCAAAGCAGTGTTCCTGCAGTCCCAGGCACACGTGTTCTTCACTGAGCCTGCAGAACCACGAGCAGGAGAGGCAGTGCGCGTGTACTACAACCCTAGCGGCACGGCGCTGCAGGGCAGGGAGAAAGTGTGGATGCGCGGGTCGTTCAACCGCTGGACCCACCGCTCGGGGTGCTTCCTTCCCCTTCAGATGGAGCCCGCTGACAACGGCACTCACCTCGTGGCTGAAGGTGAGGGGGAGGAATCCGCTTTCCAGGCGCGTAAAGAAGATGTGAAAGCAAAATCAATGAAGTAGTGGAGCCACAGTGCTCTCGGGGTGCTTCGCTTTCAGGGGAAGCGCCCCTCCACATGCTGCCAGCTGTGGAGCATTGCCTGCAGGTTGACGTAGCGCCCCTCCACATTGCCTGCCAGCTGTGGAGCATTGCCAAGTGCACTCACCTCATGGCTGAAGGTGAGGCGGAGGAGAGGGGAAAGGACGTGATGTGTTGTTGCATTGCATGCAGGTTGACGTAGCGCCCATGTGTTGTGGCGCCCATGTGTTGTGGGGCCCAGGTGTTGTGGGGCCCGGGCGTTGTGGCGCCCAGGTGTTGTGGGGCCCAGGCGTCCCTAATCCGCCCTGGGCCATGTGGCACGTGATGCTTATGGGGAAACCAGCGACCACCCCCCTTGCTCTCTGTGTGCAGGCGCACGGGGCGCACTTGGTGCACCATGGTGCATGATGGTGCCTTGTGAGCCTCGTGAGCCCTGGGCGCACATGGTGCACAGAGGGCTCACGAGGCTGACACGGCTGACAGGGCTGACAGGGCTGACAGGGCTGACTCGGATCACTGACGAGCCGTCTTCACTTTTTGATTGCCTGCGTGTATTCACATCCAATCACCCAGAGCACGAAGACATAATGGGCATAATGGACATGATAGATGGGTGGTGGTGGGGAAGCAGCAACGCCTCTTGCTGTCACCCACTCCCCCTGCTTGCGCTGTGCTCTGTGCCTGTGCCCTGTGCTGCCGACTGCCTGTGTCCATTCATTTCAACCGCCAGTCCTCGTGCCTCACGACGTGTACAGCATGGACCTTGTTTTCATGAGCAGCAAAGCGACCCCACTGACCTCTCACTATCCTCCCTGCTCTGACTGATGTGCCCATTCCCCCTACCCAGTCCCCGTGCCCCACGACGCCTCCATAATGGACCTTGTGTTCATGGACAGCAGCGACTCCTCTTACCTCTCACTATCAGCCATTCGTCATGCGTATTGTGTCCTGTGCCCCCTCTTCCCCTCCCTAGTCCCCGTGCCTCACGACGCCTACATCATGGACCTGGTCTTCATGGACAGCAGCGATCCCACCACGGCCACGCACCTGTGTGTCTGTTGATTCACTGTGTCCTACTGTGTGCCTGTTTCTATCCATCTCCCAGTCCCCGTGCCTCACGACGCGTACATAATGGACCTTGTCTTCATGGACAGCAGCGACCCCACCACGGCAACGTATGACAACCGGGGAGGCCTGGACTACCACGTGCCCGTGGCGGGCAGCACTGCCAGGGAGCCGCCTCTCTACATCGTGCATGTTGCTCTCGAGATGGCACCTGTTGCCAAGGTGAGGGAGAAGAGGGGTGGGGTTGGGTGGAGGGAGAGGGGACTGGACTACCACGTGCCTGTGGCTGGCAGCACTGCCAGAGAGCCGCCTCTCTACATTGTCCACGTGGCTCTGGAAATGGCACCTGTTGCCAAGGTGAGGGGGAGAGGGTTGGAGGGGGGCGGAGGGGGGTGGAGAGGGGTGGAGGGGTGGCTGGGGGGGTGGGGTGGAAGAAGAAGCGGGGGTGTGGGGGGGGGATTACTACCACATGGACAGCAGCGATCCATCTACAGCAATGTATGACAACCGGGAGGGCTGGACTACCACGTGCCCGTGGCGGGCAGCACTGCCAGGGAGCCGCCTCTCTACATCGTGCATGTGGCTCTTAAGATGGCACCCTTTGCCAAGGTGAGGAGGAGGGGGAGAGGAAGTAGACCTTGGTAGGGACAGATGGGTGAGGGAGCTTTTGAGGAGGTGTTGTGAAAATGGTTAGGAGCGCACGGTCAGGCACCCATATGCCCTCATGCCCCCATGCCATTGCTTCTCCATGCCATCCCTCCGTGTCACCAGGTGGGGGGTCTGGGCGACGTGGTGAAGTCGCTGTCGCGAGCCACAAGGCACTTTTAAGTTGACTGACACACTAACCAATCTACCCCTCTGTCTGTCCTCCGTGCCATCCCTCTTTCTGTACCAGGTGGGGGGTCTGGGTGATGTAGTGACGTCACTGTCGCGAGCCACAATTGAGCTGGGCCACAGAGTGGAAGTGGTGCTGCCGAAATACGACTGCCTCAAGTATGACCAGGTGCGTTGACGGTCTGGGATACTGGGGCTCGTGAGCTTGAACTACAACTATGCTTCGAGGTGCATGATTGAGTGACCTCTGAGGGAGCTGGGCCACAGAGTAGAAGTGGTGCTGCCGAAATACGACTGCCTCAAGTATGACCAGGTGCGTTGACGGTCTGGGATGCTGGGGCTCGTGAGCTTGAACTACAACTATGCTTCGAGGTGCATGATTGAGTGACCTCTGAGGGAGCTGGGCCACAGAGTGGAAGTGGTGCTGCCGAAATACGACTGCCTCAAGTATGACCAGGTGCGTTGACGGTCTGGGATGCTGGGGCTCGTGAGCTTGAACTACAACTATGCTTCGAGGTGCATGATTGAGTGACCTCTGAGGGAGCTGGGCCACAGAGTAGAAGTGGTGCTGCCCAAATACGACTGCCTTAAGTACGACCAGGTGCGTTGAGGATCTGGGGAGTTGGTGCATGCAGGGGCTTGGTGAGATTGAATACGGTACAATTAGGGTTTGATTTGATGTGCTGGGCCGGGTGTGGTCTGAGGGTGGAGGTGGTGCTGCGGAAGGAAAAACTTTTGAGTCGACTCAAAAGTCACTGCGGAAGGAAAAACTTTTGAGTCGACTCAAAAGTCACTGCGGAAGGAAACTTCTGAGTACGACTGCCTCAAGTATGTTCACGTGAGTCGGGGGGTCGAGAGCTCTTGGGCTTAGTGAGATGAGATCAATCAATGTATGTTTAGGGATTGAGAGGTTCTGAGCACCCCAATGTCTCAGGAAGCTGAGGTTGAGTATGAGCTGAGGGAAGTGGGCCATACAAAGGGTAGAGGTCGTGCTGCCCCAATACGATTGTCTCTCTCTCTCTCTCAAGTAGGACCTGCGCAAATACAACTGCCTGCCTCAAGTGAAACCCGGTGTGCACGCTGTTACGTTTCAGTCGACCAATAAAGGCTGCCCCAAATACGACTGCCTTGAGTACCACCGGTCCCAGTACAACTGCCTGACTCAAGTACCACCCGCTGCAAGGGCGCACGCCTGTGACTGTCCATGCCATATGCCCGCAGGTGCAAGGGCTGCAGACGAGGGGTGCCTAGCAGCGGTCACGTAAAGATGTCTCGGAATCCCGTTCATTTCACACACCCATGGGATAAAAGTGATATTTTGAGACGTCTCAAAATATCACTTTTATCACGTGGTCTCATAAAGATGTCTCGGAATCCCGTTCAATTCACACACCCATGCTGTCCTGTGCTTTGTCGCACCCGCAGGTGCAAGGGCTGGAGGCGAGGGGCGATTTCCTGTGGGGCGGCACGCGGTGGCTGGTGTGGCATGGCCGAGTGGAGGGCATCCCCGTGCACTTCCTCGAACCTGAGAGCGGGTGAGTGCGTGTGTAGCTCCCCTTAGTGTGTTTCCGAAGCTTGCTCTGGTCATCTGGGCTGGGACCCGCGCTCTCTCTCTCTCAGTGGCTTGTGTGGCACGGCCGAGTGGACGGGATTCCCGTGCATTTGTTAGAGCTGGAGAGTGGGTGAGTCAGTCATCCCTTTGATATGCTCTGCTCTGCAGTTTGAAAGGAAAGGGGTTGAGCCATTAACTTCACTCGTTGCATCATGGTTTGGTCATACAAGGGATGCACACTTTCTCTCCTTGTCAGATATCTCGTGCTAAGCTCAATCTCCACTCTTTTTTCCCTTTTTCTTTTGTTTCCTGCGCATCCCTCCCACCCGTTCTTCACGCGTCCCTCCCACCCAGGTTGTTCTGGGTGGGGTGCATCTACGGCCGCAAGGACGATGCTGCCCGCTTCGGCACCTTCTGCCACGCGGCCCTTGAGTTCCTGCTGCAGACAGGCCGCTCCCCGGTACGCCACACATTTCATTGCATGGCACACAGGCCGCTCCCCGGTACGCCACACATTTCATTGCATGGCACACAGGCCGCTCCCCGGGATCTGCTGCATTGTCACGAGGTGACTTTTGAGTCGACTCAAAAGTCACTCAAGATTCGACTCAAAAGTCACTCCAGAGTCGACTCAAAAGTCACTCAAGAGTCGACTCAAAAGTCATCTGCTGCATTGTCACGACTGGATTCAACGAACTGGTCCTCAGCGCCAGTGGCATGGCAGCAGAGGGAGCAGTACAGCGGGTATGGGGGGAGAGAGAGGAGGGAAGAGAGAAACGCAGCCCAGCGTCATGCGTTGAGACGTCAAAGCTCCCTCTGTCTCTTCCCCCCTCCCCTTCCTCCTCCTCATCTCCCCCCTTTCCCCCCTCTTCTAGGATCTGCTGCATTGCCACGACTGGTCGTCAGCGCCAGGGGCATGGCTACAACACGAGCAGTACAGCGGGTACGGAGGGGAGCAGGGGGTGCATGAACCTCAGAGTTCCCTCACCCTCTCTCCCTGCCCCTCTCCATCTCCCCCTCTCTTCCCTCCCCCCCACTCAGGACCTCTTGCATTGTCACGACTGGTCGTCAGCGCCAGTGGCGTGGCTACAACACGAGCAGTACAGCGGGTACGGAGGGGAGCACGGGGTGCCTGAACCTCAGAGTTCTCTCACCCTCTCTCCCTGCCCCTCTCCATCTCCCCCCTCTTCCCTCCCCCCCACTCAGGACCTCCTGCATTGCCACGACTGGTCGTCAGCGCCAGTGGCGTGGCTGCAGAGGGAGCAGTACAGCGGGTACGGAGGGGGCAACGCACGCACAGTGTTCACCATCCACAACCTCGAGTTCGGGCAGGACATGATTGGCCGCGCCATGGCAGCCTGCGACATGGCCACCACTGTGAGTGCTCACTACTATGTGTGTGTGTGTGGACCGCTGGGCGGGCATGTAAGGAATGTGACTGCATTGAGTGGGCCAACGCGCGCACGGTGTTCACCATCCACAACCTCGAGTTCGGGCAGGACATGATTGGCCGTGCCATGGCTGCCTGCGACATGGCCACCACCGTGAGTGCTGTGTGGCTGTGCTGTGTGTGTGTGTGGCGCAGGAGGGAATGTAACTCTAGAGACGAGCGATGCAGGAGACAGGAGTGCTATGGCACGATTGGCATAGTGCTCGGGGGCAGGGCATGATTGGCCGGGCCATGGCTGCAGCCATGGCTGCATGCGATTGGTCACCCACATGTGCAGGAGAGTTCAGTGGACATCCAGCAGCTCAGCGCACACGGCAAAGCATCTTCTCATTTACATCAACCCCTCTCTTCATCAGTTCCCCGGGCACCCCTCCCTCTGCCTCAGGTGTCCCCCACATACGCGGCGGAGGTCAGTGGGCATGCAGCAGTGGCGGCACACAGGGCCAAGTTCCACGGCATTCTCAATGGCATCGACCCCGACCTCTGGGACCCCATGGGGGACCCTTTCCTTCCGGTGAGTGCTGCTGCTGTGCCAGTTAATGCGATGTCACCTGGTGATGGTGTTTACGTCATGCCGCTTGCATACTCTTTTTTAGAATTCTCAGAAATAGCTTTATCCTTTCCCCTCGGTGAGTGCTGCTGCCGTTTCCACAATAGCGAATAAACCATGCCGTTCACTTCATTCATGCTGATAATGCTTTTTCTCGTGCCACCATTGACGATGTTTCGTTTCTTTCACCTCCCTGTCCCCATCCCCTCCCCATGCTCTACCCATCTCCAGATGAAATATTCAGCTGCAGAGGTCGTGGAGGGGAAGCAGACAGCCAAGGCAGAACTGCGTGCCTGCCTCAACCTGCGCTCCATCCCCCCCTCCGAGAATCGGCCCCTGGTGGGAATAGTCTTATGGTTGACTGCACAGAAGGGCATCGCACTCATCAAGCATGGGCTGTGTCTCTTCCCACCCTGTCCCCGTCCCTCCTGCTCCTTGTTTCCTGCCTTTCCTCTCTTCACCCCATCCTCATATAAAATACTCAGCTGCAGAGGTCGTGGAGGGCAAGCAGGCAGCCAAGGCAGAGCTGCGCGCGCGCCTCAACCTGCGCTCCTTCCCCCCCTCGGAAGACCGGCCCCTGGTGGGCATAGTCACGCGCCTCACAGCACAGAAGGGCATCGCGCTCATCAAGCACGCGCCCTTTCCCTTCCCCAACCCCTCCCTCCTGCTCCCTGTTTCCCGTCGTTCCCTTCCCCACCCCCACCTCGTGTTCACCCCATCCCCAGATGAAATACTCCTCTGCCGAAGTCGTGGAGGGGAAGCAGGCAGCCAAGGCAGAGCTGCGCGCGCGCCTCAACCTCCGCTCCTTCACCCCTTCAGAAGACCGTCCCTTAGTGGGCATAGTCACGCGCCTGACAGCACAGAAGGGCATAGCGCTGATCAAGCACGCGCTGTGGCGCACGCTGGACAGAGGGGGACAGGTGGTGCTGCTGGGGTCGGCCCCTGATGGGCGCGTGCAGGGCGAGTTTGAGGCGCTGGCGAGGGACCTAGGGCGCTCGCATGGAGACATGGCCCGGCTCTGGCTGACCTACGATGAGCCCTTGTCGCACCTGGTGAGTGTACTTGTTTTGTGTGCGTGGGTTGTGAGGCTGTGCGTACGCTCATCAAGCATGCCTGTGGTGCACTATGTTGGAGAGAGGGGCAGGCAGGTGGTGCTGCTGCTGGGGCCCGCCCCTGAGGAGCTGCGCTGGCACGGAACTTCGAGCGTTCGCATGGAGACATGGCCCGCCTGTGGCTCACCTACGATGAGCCGCTCTCGCACCTGGTGAGTGCATGGGTTGAGTGCATGGGTTGAGTGCATGGTGTGTGATTCTGGTGAGTGCAGTGCTCCGTACGTACCTGCCTCTGGTGGTTCTGCTGGGGTCGGCCCCGATGGGCGCGTGCAGGGCGAATCTGAAGCTCTTGCGAGGGACCTGGGGCGGTCACATGGAGACATGGCACGGCTCTGGCTGTCTTATGATGGTCCCATGTCGCACTTGGTGAGTGCGTGTGGTGAGTGCGTGTGGTGAGTGCGTGTGGTGAGTGCGTGTGGTGAGTGCGTGTGGTGAGTGCGTGTGGTGAGTGCGTGTGGTGAGTGCGTGTGGTGAGTGCGTGTGGTGAGTGCGTGTGGTGAGTGCGTGTGGTGAGTGCGTGTGGTGAGTGCGTGTGGTGAGTGCGTGTGGTGAGTGCGTGTGGTGAGTGCGTGTGGTGAGTGCGTGTGGTGAGTGCGTGTGGTGAGTGCGTGTGGTGAGTGCGTGTGGTGAGTGCGTGTGGTGAGTGCGTGTGGTGAGTGCGTGTGGTGAGTGCGTGTGGTGAGTGCGTGTGGTGAGTGCGTGTGGTGAGTGCGTGTGGTGAGTGCGTGTGGTGAGTGCGTGTGGTGAGTGCGTGTGGTGAGTGCGTGTGGTGAGTGCGTGTGGTGAGTGCGTGTGGTGAGTGCGTGTGGTGAGTGCGTGTGGTGAGTGCGTGTGGTGAGTGCGTGTGGTGAGTGCGTGTGGTGAGTGCGTGTGGTGAGTGCGTGTGGTGAGTGCGTGTGGTGAGTGCGTGTGGTGAGTGCGTGTGGTGAGTGCGTGTGGTGAGTGCGTGTGGTGAGTGCGTGTGGTGAGTGCGTGTGGTGAGTGCGTGTGGTGAGTGCGTGTGGTGAGTGCGTGTGGTGAGTGCGTGTGGTGAGTGCGTGTGGTGAGTGCGTGTGGTGAGTGCGTGTGGTGAGTGCGTGTGGTTTCTGGCTGTGTATGTGACCATGCCGAAACTGTGTCCACCCTCCATCTCCCCTTCCCCACTCCCTAACCTTCGCTTCCGCCACTTCCCTTCCGCTCTCTCCCTTGCCCCACAGATCTATACAGAAAGTGACATGATTTCCTTCCCCATCCCTGTTCCGTCCCCCCCTCCGAGTTGCAAGGTGTTTTTGAGACTTCTCAAAAACACCCCCTTCCTTCACCCCCCTTCTCTCCCTTCCCCCACAGATCTACGCTGCGAGTGACATGATTCTCCTCCCCTCCATCTATCACCTGACTTTTGAGGCGCCTCTAAAGCCCAAACTTCGCTTCCCCTCCTCCTTCCCCCTCTCCCTCTCCACCTCTTGCCCTTCCTCCACAGATCTACGCAGCCAGTGACGATTTTGATGAAGCTTAAAGAGTCTTCTGCTCCTTCTCCCCCTTCACTGCCTATCCCTTGCCCCACAGATCTACGCAGCCAGTGACATGATTCTCGTCCCCTCCATATTTGAGCCGTGCGGGCTCACCCAGCTGGTTGCGATGCGGTACGGAGCGGTTCCAGTGGTGCGCAAGACAGGCGGGCTGAGGGACACAGTGATGGACGTGGACAGTGAGGAGGACAGGCAGAGAGCGGCAGAGAGAGGCATGGAGGCCAACGGATTCTCCTTTGAAGGGGCCGATGCTGCTGGCGTTGACTATGCCCTCAACAGGTGGGCTGCTAGTGGGTGGGAGTCTTGTGTTTGTGTTCTGGTGGGTGTGATTCTTGTGACTGTGGGTTCAGTGGGTGTACGTCCAGTGGGTATGCTTCTCAACAGGTGTCTATGATGCTAGTGGGCGAAACTATAGTGTGTGTGATGCTAGTGGGCGAGACTCTAGTGTGTGTGATGCTAGTGGGCGGGACTTTAGTGTGTGTGATGCTAGTGGGCGGGACTCTAGTGTGTGTGATGCTAGTGGGCGGGACTCTAGTGTGTGTGATGCTAGTGGGCGGGACTCTAGTGTCTGTGATGCTAGTGGGCCGGACTCTAGTGTCTGTGATGCTAGTGGACCGGACTCTAGTGTGTGAGATGCTAGTGGGCGGGACCTCTAGTGTGTGTGATGCTAGTGGGCGCGACTCTAGTGTGTGTGATATTTCTACGAGGAGCTCCAGTGGGCTGTGAAGTTACTGGGTATGATTCTTTTGGGCATGCTTTTAGCGGTTGTGGTTCCAGTGGCGTTATGCTTCGAGTGGACTCTGGGCATTCCATTGCATGCCTTTCCATTGTCTGAAGTGGTGCCTTATTGTATCTACGTGCATTGCAAGTACTCACCTTGTTCCCCCCTGTTTTTACTCCAGGCTCAGCAGGGCAATCTCTGAGTGGTAGGGCCTGGCATGAGGGGTGATGAAGCAGGACTGGACTGCCAATCTGATAAAGCGTGTGATCTCTGACTGGACTTCCCTCCACGGTCCACCCAATGTGCCTCATCGCACCTCATTGGCGATTTTCACACCGCCTTCACCCCATCCCCTCCTCCCCTCTCCCCCCTCCTCTCTCCCTTTCTCCATGCCCATCAGGGCGATCTCGGGGTGGTACGATGGGAGGGAGTGGTGGCAGGGCCTGGCTAGGCGAGTCATGGAGCAGGACTGGACGTGGAACCGCCCCGCTCTTGACTACCTTGAGCTCTACTATGGCGCTCGGAAATAGGCAGTGTCAAGGCGGGGAGGCATGCCCCAGTTCTGCTCGAATTGCACCAGGCGGGGCGAGACGAAGCTGGAGGTGGATCCGCCCCGCTCTTAACTACCTCCAGCTTTACTATGGCTCGGAAATAGGCAGTGTCAAGTGGTTATCAATCTCAAAAGCATGCCTCTGCCTCGAATTGTGCCGGTGAGGCAAGTGATGGAGCAGGACTGGACTGGACGTGGAACCGCCCTGCTCTCGACTACCTTGAGCTTCACAATGGTGCTCGGAAATAAACAGACCTTGTTTATGTTATTGTGCTTGGATTGGAAATATGTAGCATGCATTTTTATTACGGTCCCTGTAGTTTTGCTAGGATAGGTTTGGTTTGGTGGCTGGCATGATGGTAGCATATGCAATAGAGCATCCTCTCTATATGGTAGTTATAGTCAGCTCTAGTACTAGAACGTTTGGTAGTTGTTCTGTAACGAGTCCTGCGGTTGGTGCAAGAAGCCTTGTTTCTGGTGCAAATTTTGTCCGTGGTGCATCTCATTTCATCTCACTATCCTACTGATGGGAAAACGCCTCACTAAAGGGAAGATGGTCCTTCGCGTTTCTAAAAAACCACGTTGCGCCCACTTGACTGTACACACCAACAAGGAGCGCTACCATACCAACCCATTCAGAAAGCACATCAACTCCCCATAAACAACTACAATCAAATTTCATACACGCTCTCCCGATCCCCAACGTCCAACCCGCCGCACCAGCTTTGCCATCTGACTCATCCTAGTCATCATCATCACTACCCCCCCAGCGTCTGCCAATGTCGTCATCATAGTCACTGTCCACGGCATACTCATGCTCAATATCATCATCTTCAGCCCCACTCTCCTCGTCCTCTGGTGCCTCCCCGCCCGCCTCTTCTCTTTCCCCAGCCACATCGCCTCCCTCCTCCCCCTCTTCCTCTTCCGCATCCCCACCCTCCTCTTCCTCCTCCCCCTCGCCCTCCTCTCCTTCATCCTCCTCTCTCTTGTCTCGGCGGGAGAGCAGAGGGCATTCGCTGATATTGCACTCACGCAATGTTGGCATTTTCCGGAGAGAGGTGGGCAGCCGAGTCAGCTTCTTGCATATGATCACCTCCAGCTTCTCAAGCTTAGGCAGCCGAGTGAACGAATCTGGCAAGCTTTGCAAGTGCTTCGGTCCCAGAATCACCAACTTCTGGAGCGAAGACAGCTTCCATATGTCATCCGGAATGCGTGGGATTCCAAGCATGATAAGAGAGCAGGATCGTAGCTTGGGTAGATTAACTAACGACTTTGGAAGCTGCATTAGCTTGTAACAATCGATAATCTCCAGCGTCTCGAGCATCTTCAGCTGCCCGAGAGACTCGGGCAGCTGCCGCATCGAGATGAGGCTAACCAGCTGCAAGGTATGCAGCCCTGCAAGCCCCCCAAGGGTCTCGGGCAGTGCTTTCAGATGGTAGGCCGCATCAATCTTGAGCCTTTGCAGCTGCGAGAGTTGGGAGATGGAGTCAGGGAGAAGTTCAAGTTTGTACATTTCCAGCAGCTTCAACTGCGTCAGAGAGAACAGACAGCCGAGGAATGGACCAAAAGAATCCCCTAGCACCCCACTTAGCGAACCACACCTCCGCACGTCCAACGCCAGCAGACAGGGCAGCTCAAAGAGCGCCGGAGGGAGACATATCAGGCCGCTCATCTTAAAGATCCTAACCTCCTTGAGCGCTGCCAGCCGTCCGATTCCCTCTGGCAGGACCGTTACTTTAGGGCATTTTCCCACTTCCAGCCTGGTGAGGGAATCAACGCCAGAGAATGAAGCAGGAAGGGAGGATAAGCGTAGCATAGAATCAAGCGACAGCTCCTTGAGGCTCTTCAAGCAGCCAAATCCGTCCAGCAGCGCGCCCCTGACGCGTTTCGCGTGTACAATCTTGAGCGTTTCAAGAGATGTCAGGCAGGAGAAGGATGGGGGGAGGTGGGTGAGAACCGTGCACTCCAATAGAAGCAGATGGCGCAAGGAACGGAGACCCTTCCCCATGTTGTCTGGCAGCACTGTGAGGCACGGACAATCGTTAATCTCCAGGTGCTCGAGAGAAGACAGCTGGGACACGGAGTCGGGAAGCTGCTGCAGCTGCCTACACTCCAACAATTTCAGCTCCCGAAGAGCTATTAACTGCCCGAATGTTTCAGGCAGGTGCGTGAGCTGTTGGAGGTCTTTCAGATACAGCTTCTCTAAAAGCACCAGCTGACCAAACTCCTGCGGCAGATGTCTCAGATTCAGAAGATGATCGAGGGAAATCTCTTGAAGAGTGGTAACCCGGGCGATGGAATCAGGTAAGGCTGTGAGACTTCGCAGATTTAGCACGAGTCTCCGAAGTGTAGACAACTGCCCGAAATCTTCAGGGAGCACTGAAATTTGTCCCATGTCAAGGGTAAGTTCAGAGAGTGCAGGCAGGCGGAGAGATACGGGAAGAGTCGTGATGTCCCTACAGTCCTTGATGAATAGAGTCTTCAGTCGCTGGAAATGCTCCAGATCCGCAATTAAAACCCGCGGGCCAAGAACTTCAACCTTAGGAAGCTTGGTTGGAGTGAGCAACACAATTGGCTAAGGTTTTGGGTGCGAGTGCCAAACTCAACCAAGGTTAGGAAGGTTGAGGCAATTTAGGCCTTCTTGGCCCTCCGGTTTTAAGTCGCGCATTCCCCTCACTTGAACCATAATGAGGGTTTCAAGCGCCCCCAGTCGACCGAAATCGGCCGGCGACGGAGGAAGAATGCTGCAATGTCGGAGCTCCAGGTCGGCGAGAGAAGAGAGCTCGGTGAAAGAGGTCGGCAGCTGCAGCGTAAAACAGCGACTCAAGGAAAAACGGTTGAGAGCGGTAAGTTGCCCGAAAGATTCCGGAAGTGACGCCAAGCGGCTATGGTGGAGCTCCAGCGACGTCAAAGAAATCAGATTGCCGAAATTCTGAGGCAGAGCTTCGAGCTGATAAGTGTTGAGCACGAGCCTTTTGAGAGATTGTAACGAGGTCAGTGTGTCGGGAAGACGCGTGACTCCACTTGCCACGAAGTGCAGGGACTTGAGGGAAGTAAGTCGGCCGATTGACGTGGGAATGGCAACATTCTTCGAGCAGTACACATAGAGATCTTCCAGCCGCGTACACCTTTCGAACAGCGCAATGAGACTCTTCTCGGTTACATCTCTTTTATTGGTCCAAGGTGACATCGTTTCGACATGAAGCTGGGTCAAATGGTGCCACGTGCTAGCGAGGTGAGAGAATAAAAACTTGGAAATGGAGGTGAGGCTGCAAGGATTAGCTTTTCGAGGTTAGGGAACGAGGATAGAAGTTGAACAAGCCGACGCGGATCCATACGGAGGCTATTGGGCAATCGGAGCTCGTATTGCACGCGGCACGCGATCCGATGCCATTGCTGGCTAACAAGTGCGTGCTCTGGCAAGCCATCAGGTCGAACCAGAAAACGCAGGATCCGAGAAAGAAGCTCCTCAGGTAGCCGCTGGATCGGTGATCCGACTGGCATTGTGAAAGGCGGAGAAAATAAAGAATGACTAGCTGTTCAGCTTGTTGCTTCTGCTACTGAAGCAGGTATCGTCGATTAGCAAGGTCGTTGTGAGCCTGAATGGGTCAGGGAGGGAGGACTGGTGAAATTTATTTCTGTGGATATGAAGAAGCACATACCGCTCAACCACGCCTGTTCCTCAACCAGTGCTGTTGCTAGGTCTATCTAGTCTGGTCTGATCTGAACTCAACAAGAAAAGTGACACCGCACTCAACCGCTCGTTCTTCTCGTATCATTCCCGCCAGATGCTCCCCTCCCATGTAACACCGTACACCCTGTTTCGCGCCACACTGACAATCGCCATATTGACAAGCCGTTGTACTGACATCAATGCGTCCAAATTGGTCCCAGAACATACCGTATAAGCACTTTGTCCGCACGAAACCGAACTCAAAAGCACGTTTGTTTTCATAAACCGTTGTCTACCGTTCTCCTGAAGTGCATTTCGGTTGCAAGCACCAGCCCGCTGAATCCAAGTACACGTGCGCACTGTAGCCGGGGCTCCCGATTGTTCAATCATCGAGAAACAGGGTGTACTTGCGAAATGGACGGCGACGCAGGGCACTACAGTATCTCGATTTGCGAGGCTCCCACGATGCCTTCGCGAGCCCCAAATGGGTGCCCCATAATGACACGACATGGGCTTGTGTGCTTCCCGCCATAAAAGTGATGGTAGTGTACCCGTTTGTGGATGCGATGTAATAAAATTGTTTGAGCAGTGAGTTGTTATTCGCAAATACGCAAGGAGTGTAACGAATGAAGGAGCCAAAATATATATATTGCTTTAAAGGCCCGAAAACACTAAGTAAAAGTTGCACCATGAAAATTAACAATGTTTGTGTATTTTGTGTACTAGGATTTTACTGTGTACTACACTATTGTTTAGCACAATCACTATAGATACAAACATACCGTTTGCAACTAGTGTAGCGAGGCATGTACAGCGTTCAGCACAACCACTTGAAGATACACTCTTTTATGGGATACGGTACACCAATACAGTTGTGTCTCACAAAAAGAATGCGTCCCACTTTCTATTTTTGTGCCTGCAAAGAATTTCCTGTCTGCTGACTAACTGAAGGTTTATATCTCATCCTCCATGCGAAGATATTCACCTGCAACAGATGGTGGGTATGGGGGAGAGGGGGGGGGTGGAAGGGAACGGAAAGCATGCGGGAGCGCAAGGTGAGGCAAGGGGGGGTGGGCAGGGTAGGGAGGGGGGGGCAGAGTTCGCAGGGCTGCAGGATGCCATAGGCATGCAGCGACAGGATTGACGTGTTCCGCACAGCAGCGCAGCAGTGTGGTGCGGTGCGGTGTGGTATGGTGCGGTGCGGGGACTTCTCCCTTTTGCATCAACAAACACCTCAATGTGGTGCACTTGTGCAATCCCGATGAGCCCCATCTGCACCTGCCGGACCTCCACCAGGTGAACCTCCACCAGGTGAACCTCCACCAGGTGAACCTCCACCAGGTGAACCTCCACCAGGGGGACCTGTGTCGGCCTGGTGGAAGACAATGATAGTGTTGGGGCCCAGTCGCCAGCACTCCTTTGTGGACTTGGCTGCATTGTGGTTCAGTGCGGTGTGGTGCGGTGTGGTGAGGTGTGTCACGTGTGGACTTGGCTGTATCTACGAGCCCCACCTGTGTCGGCCTGGTGGAACACAACAATGGCGTTGGGGTCGAGTTTCCGGCACTCCTGTGTCGACTTGGCCGCCACTCCAAAGCCTAGAGGCACATCTGACATTGACAGCACCACCACTCCCTGCCATGTGGTGTAAGGGAGGGGAGGGGATAAAAGAGGGAGAAGACGGAGAGGGATGAGAGGGAAAGGGGCCGGCGGTAGGAAGGAGAGGGGCAGTGGGTGGGATCAGGTCGCTGGCGGCGGCACTCCTGTATCGACTTGGCTGCCACGCAAAAGCCCAGAGCCACGTCTGACATCGACAGCACCACCATTCCCTGCCGTGCATGGGAGGGGAGGGGGGTGCGGGCAGGGCGAGAGAGGGGGAAGATGTGGGATGGCAGTTGGGGTTTGAGACGCTGCAGCACTTGGCTGCCACGCAAAAGCCCAGCGGCACATCTGACATCGACAGAACCACCACTCCCTGCCGTGTGGTGTGGGGGAGGGGAGGGGAAGGGGGAGGGCAGATGTAGGTTGAGGCGCTGCAGCACTGGGCTGCCACGCCAAAGCCCAGCGGCACATCTGACATCGACAGAACCACCACTCCCTGCCATGCGGGAATGGGAAGTGGTTGGTGGGAGGGAATGGGGCGATTTGGGAAGGAGGGGTGGGTGGGAGGCCTGGAAGAAGGAGCGGGCAGCGGGGCCCTGTTCAAGACACAACAAGACCCGTTCCCATCCCACACCCTACTCATGAGCCTCACTCTACCGCACTCCAGCCCTCCCACCTGGTTCTGCTGCGGGTCTCTATTATCCCCCAGCTTCCATCTCCCATCCTCAGCCTACTATGTTGGTTGGTGTTACTTTTGGGAATTATTTTGGGGATTCCCATCTCCCAGGCCCAACACCAGCATGGCTCCCATCTCCCAGGCCCAACACCAGCATGGCTCCCATCTCCCAGGCCCATCCTACCCCAGCTCCCAGCCCCGCCCTCTCCAATCTCCCAGACCTGCCCTACCCCACCCCATCTCCCAACCCCACTCTGCGCCATCTCAGCCAGCCCACCTGGTTCTGCTGCGTGGCCTCGGTGATTAGCCCCAGCCCGCTCTTATATACCCGCCTCAAGACACACCAGGTCACGTCCCCACACCGAAGTACTGAACCAAAAGCCCATCCTATCCCGGCCCTATGGAAATCACTTGTGAGAATTCTCACAATCACTATTGAGAATTCTCAAAAGTGATTTCCATATAGCCTCAAGACACACCAGGTCACGTCCCCACACCCAAGTACTGAACCAAAAGCCCATCCTATCCCGGCCGTACCGCACTCCATCCCAGCCCACCCACCTGGTTCTGCTGCGTGCTCTCGGTGATTCGCCCCAGCCCGCTCTTGAGCACGTGGTTGCCGTACAGGAATGACATCTCCGCTGCTGGCTTCACCCACACCTGGCAAGGAGGCGAGAAGGGAGAAGAGAAATCACAGGGAGGGAAAGAGGGACAAATGGTGCTTGGTGATTGCCGTACAGGACAGGATTGACATCTCTGCTGCTGGCTTCACCCACACCTGGCAAGGAGGCGAGAAGGGAGAAGAGAAATCACAGGGAGGGAAAGAGGGACAAATGGTGCTTGGTGATTGCCGTACAGGACAGGAATGACATCTCTGCTGCTGGCTTCACCCACACCTAGCAAGGGGAAGGAGGGGGGAGAAGAAGGTGTGGGGGGGGGGTGGTGAGGGGTGGTTGACTGTAGGAAAGGGAGTGGCTTGGTGGTTGCCGTACAGAAATTACATTTCCGCTGCAGGCTTCACCTACACCTGCAGAAAGGGACGGGGTGGAGGAGAGGCAAAGATTGAAGGTACCAACCGACCCACACCTGCCGGGTGGAAAAGAGGCAAAGGGGCAAGGCCAAAGACGGACCTTGCACTTGGCGTAAGCTGCGAGCAGGTTGCGAGCAGAAACGGTGATATGGAGCGTGCCATACTTGGTGAAAGAAGCCACGCCACGCCAGGCCAGGCCAAGCCACGCCAGAACAACAGCCCACACGCGCACCTTGCACTTGGCGTAAGCTGCGAGCAGGTCGAGCGCAACCTTCACACACCAGGTCAAGCCATGCCAAGCCAGGCAAGACACAAACATTGCACTTGACGCACCTTGCACTTGGCGTAAGCTGCAAGCAGGTCGAGCGCAGTGACTGTGAGACGGAAGCTGCCCGACTTGGTGAACTTGCCAATGCACGTGCCCAGTGACGCTAGGTGGTCCCGGGACACACTTGTTGCTCTCCGCATGATGGCCTGATGAGGGGGGGGGGGGTGGGGGCGTGTGACAGGTCGGGGCAGGGATGAGTGTGCTGCGAGCAAGGGTGGTGCTGCTGGTGAACTTGCCAATGCGGTGACTTTTGAGTCGACTCAAAAGTCACCTCGTTACCATGGCACACGATGAGTGTGCTGCAAGCAAGGGTGGTGCTGCTGGTGAACTTGCCAATGCACGTGCCCAGTTATGCTGGATGGCCGCGCGATACACTCGTGGATCGCCGCATGATGGCCTAATGCGGACCCCGTGGGCAAAGATGTGCGGGGCAGATGAGATTTAGTGGGGAGATATTGTGACAGGGGGTCACGTGAAAGGTGACAAAGGATAGAGGCGCGAGGGGACACGCGAGCAATGACAGTCGGGACGAGCGGCCTCGGTGAGAGGGGCTTGAGGGAAAAATAGCGAGGTCATGAGGAGGGGACATCCCTTGAACCGCTGCAAATCTCTCAAAACCCTTCTTATACCCTTGTAAAACCTCCGTTTAGCCCTCGCCCTCCGGCCTCTGCAATCCCCAGACAACCACCCTCAAATTTCTCTGGTAACCCGGGAAATCCTCGCTCTCCCCGTAACCCCATAACCCCGAACCCGTAAACCCTGACCTGCCCACCTCGCTGACATAGTACACGCGTTGCTTCTGTAGTCTCAAGCAGTAACCCCCAGTGGCGCCGCCCGGCCCTTCCGGCGCTTTGCGTTCGATGAGGTGCTTGATGTTGCTGCCGATGAACTTGTGAAGTTTCTCAAACACCGCCTGCGTTTCCTTCTCGTCCAACGGCCGCATCGTCGCTCGTTACTGTAGCGAACGCCGCCTGTGTGACTGTAACGGGTGTGCGCTTCTGTCTGGTCTTGGTGAAATGAATTGCGTCGAGGGTACGCGTTTTTTTGTGCGTGTGCAAGTAGCAAAGAATGTTGTCGAAACTAGCTGCGAAGAAACGGAATGGCGTAAAGCAACAAAGTTTTTGCTTTCACAAGAATGCCGCTAGGCAATCTCCGTCCTGAGACGTTTCGTACTGTACAAGCATCGAAGTCCAATCACTATCGGGTTCCAGCAGGCGTGGCTATGAGGCCTAAGAAATCCGCTGAGAAATATGCCTTCTCTGAAAACCTTATGGAGAGAGCTAGAGTTTTAGGAGGGTGTGAAGGTGTGGTGGGGTGCTCCTGCAATTGTCTCCGTTTGCGCATGAAATGATCAAGATGACTACGTGTATTTGTTTGAGTGAGGCTCAGAACAATTGTTGTAGCGACTCAACTGCAAACGCGTTACGATTCTTGCGGTGATTATGAATTTGACAAGAATTGGGTGGAATGAGATCGACGGCTCTAGAAGATGTAGGCAGAGCTTAGGCCAGTAATCGACGCTCTATCCCAATCCCCCTACGCCACGAAGTCTGGCGGTGGGAGGTGGTCCGGTCAGACGGCTGTGGCTGTGGGCGGTTGAACAGAAACAACCGCTGAGGTTGACGTTCCGCCAAGGTTGATGACATCCTGGTGGGGTTGACATCCACCCACCGTTGCAAAAAGAACTCCGGGCAGCTTGGAAAATAAGAGCATGCTGCAATATTCCCAACAGAACCACCAACAGCAGCACATCATTTCACTGTATACCTCCACATCGTGAATGATATGCGCACGTGAAATTCACGCGAATCTGAGTGCTTCGTGCCCCATTTGGAAACAAAATGTCGGCGAGGAGGAAGCACGGCAAGGCAAGCTCAAGGTTGCGTTGAGGGCCTTTCCCCCTTTCATGTCACTTTTGCGCAGAATTTTCCACCCAGCACAACGTCCGGGTTCTCTCGCGGGTTCCGCTCACTTACAGCGCAGCAGCGGAAGCAGCATAGCACACCAAACCAGTCTACATCGCTGCGCGCCCCCTGAAGCCTGTTGCGCCACCCTTCCCCTCTTCCCCGCGCCCTCCCTCCCCTCCCCCCTTTCAGCCGGTGCCAGCGGGATTGGGCGATGGCGGAAACGTGCTGCTTGCTGACCCAGCCAAGCAGTCACCTAGGTTTCTCCCCCCTAGGTTGTGTCAGTCACCTAAATTCCTGTTGCTTGTTGGTGCCACACCGTGCCGTGAACCATGGCTCTTGCTGGCGGCAGTTGCAGAAAAGGATCGTCGGACGAAAATTGTTTTGTCAGCCTAGTCTTCCGTGGATCTACCATCAACTGCCTTCTTTTGTTTTGCCTCTGGAAGCCTTGCGGTACAGCTGGCTCCTTGCAGATTATTGACTAGCACGGCTGGAGTCTCGATTATTCAATTATTTTCCTAGCACGATTCGGTTTAGTTTCCTGTGTCCTAGTGTTACATTCAAGTCACGGTGCCTAAGATGAGTACCTCTAATTACCGTCGTCGTCGTTTCCGATTAAGGCAATCGGTCAAGCCCTTTCAAGATTGATGCGACTTGCCACACACGGTCTTTTAGGTTCTGGCCTAACTGCCCAAATACAACTATTAGAGCGCTGACTACTGATGGATACTCGACAACCCAATAGACCTATTAACGGTACCGAAGTTCTGGTTGGTATCGCTGACAGCCAATGGCCTTTAACGAATCCCCACGCGCTTCTTCCAGGAGATATCATTCTAAGAGTAGGCGACTCGGGGTCGAATCGTTCAGCATACGCTCCATTCGAGGACGGCATTAACCGCGTCAGGCGGGAGATTCTCTCATGGTCTCTGCGCGACGAGCTGAAGCAGAATCGCGTGCCGCTTCAAGTGCTTCGTGGGAATAGGTGAGAAACGGCGATCTTTAGGCCATTTGGACCTAAGAAGCTGGTGAAGGTCCGCAATCTAAGTCGATGGTTGCTGCCTTCGTGGTCTTAGTTATTAGAAGCTGTGATTGTGTTGGATCTTGATTCTAAATCAACAGTAGTCTGGAAGGCACCTTCCTCCTACTTCCGCCCATCTTACATTCGTCTTACCTCCATCTCACTTTTGATAACCTCCGTCCCACCTCCGTCCGTCCTTCCTTACGCACTAAACACACTCATGCATTTCCGTCACCCTTCCATTCTCGCTTTCCAATCGGCGCTCTTTACGTCTTCTCCATCGTATCCTCTCTCTCCTCTTGCTTTCTCCCAACTTCATGCCGCATCCGTCTTTCATCTCTTGCTTTCATCTCATGTTGCTTATGCTTTGTTTCAGCCGTCTAGACATCTGGGCTCGAGTCACTCCGGCAGCGGCAGCAGAAGCCGCAGCGGCTGATGCCGCAGCTGCTGAAGCCGCACAAGGAGACGTCAGTCTCGACGGCAGTTACGACGACATCACCGCAAGCTTTGGAGCGGCCAGCTACCGGCTAGCCGGCACTTTTGAAACGGATTGCAGTTACGACGCCGGCGAGAACCTTCTAGAGGGCGTCGTTTTGTCCGAGGGCCGGCACGCGCTGTTCGCGCCGCTTGCAGCGTGGACGGAGGAGAGCATTCTGCGGCTAGAACGGATTAAAGCGTACGGCGCGCTGAGGAATAACAAGCCTCGGCCAGTGGAGAAAGAGGAGCAGCGCAACAAGGAGCAGCGCAACAGGCGCGGCAATGACTTGTACTCCAAATTACCCTCTGCTAGCGTCAGGGCTCGTCGTGCGGCGGGAATCGGTTGCTGTTTCGCAGGCGGCGCGGGGTATGGGGAAGAGGCGGAAGATGGGGAAGGGGCGGAGGACTCCCTGCCGGCGCGCGAGGCTGTGGGGAAGCTGGCGGAAGGAATTGCGCGGCTAAGGATGGGATGGGCGCGCGCAAGAGATGGAGCGGAGGAGGCGGAAGGGGTCAGAGCACCGCTTCTGGCGCATGCGGTGCTCCCAGCGGAGAGGGGGGACGTTATCACGCAGGATGGCGGTCGCGGCAAAGATGAGCGGTTGAATAGGGATGGTGCTGATATGCTCAGGGATGCTCGAATTGCCGGCGAACCTTCTTCCAATTCGCGTCACAACGAGATTGAACCTGCCGACACTCCTGCCGCCCACAAATCGAGTAATTTTACTGCCAGCGACACAGGCGCCTCCTATGGAACACGGAGTACGACAGCTGCCACGTCAGCAGGCGAGCCGCGGGTCGTGCTGCCGCACCTGTACTCTAAAGTGCCGGTTTCTGGGGAAGGCGGTAGCGGGGCAGGCTGGGGTAGGTGGGAAGATGGAGAGACATGCCTTCAGGAAGAGGAGGAGGGAGACGATGGGTACTGGCGTGAAAGAGCAGACGACGCTGCTGCTGCTGGTGATGCTGGTGATGCCGGTGCTGCTGGTGCTGCCACTGGTGGCAGTGCTAGTCCGACGCTCGAAGAAGCGCGTGACATGGGAGCGCGGACCAGACCGAGCTCTCCCACCCATCACACCACCAGCCCTGCTGCTTCCACTATGCCCGCGACCGACGCCGCTGCTCCCGGAACTGGTGCTGAAGGGGAAGCGGCGGAGATGCAGGAAAGGTTGTGGGCAGGGCGGGCCGTGACAGCGCCTGAAGCCAGGCTGTGGCGGGGCCACGCATCAGGCATGCCGGCAGTAGGCATGCAAGCAGCAGGCATGCAGGCAGCCATGGCCAGCAGCATTGCAACAGATGGTGATACTTGCACAGACTCTCTCCCATCAGGCTTACCTACCTTTCTCCACTCCGGCTGCCTACCTGCCTTCCTACCTGCCGCCCCGAACCTGCCTTCGCATGCAACGCCGGGCCCAGTTCTCAAGGTTCGGCGGCACTGTATTGCTGAGGCGGCAGAGAAGGACGACTCGGGCGGCAGCAGCAAGGGTCTGGACGGCAGCGGGCCGGCATCGCTGTTCACCATTCTGATCATGCCGGCCGAGAGTGGGGGAAAGAAGGAGAGTCGTCGATTCTTTGATGTCAACCACACTATTGATGTAAGTGATTGCAACGGTCGTTCGAGTGTGCTTTGGTTCTTGTTGCCTGCTTCTATCTGAAAGCATTGTTTGGTTCTAAGCCCACCTGTAATAAAGTTGCTGGATGACACTTTTAGCGTTGCAGCATCTTTGTTGCTTCTTTCAAGCCCGTCTCCCTTCCCATAACTTCCCGCTCCCAACCCTTGGCTTCTCTCCCTCCAGCGTGCCCTGCGTTGGTTCGCCTCAGTGCGTGCGAGTGGGGCAGCACTCGAGCTGATGAACGCTCAAACCGAAGTCCTGCCGGTGCGGCTGGGCGGCATGGATGGCGACAAGCTCGCCAAGATGGCTCAGTATGGCAAGTGGACAGTAAAGACAAACGACGAGCAGCGCGGGGATCATATCTCCGTCCTCCGCGCCGTCCGGCTCTGGCTGGTCCCGGATTCCGAGGTGGAACTTACCCTCGTGCTGGCGTCTGGCGGGGTAAATAATGCAGCGTGCCCTCCCGACTGGGGATTACTTCTGGAACAAACCCCCGAGGGAGTGGTGCATGTGGTGGGGGTGAGGGGGGGAAGTCCGGCGGAGAAAGGTGGAGTAGCCATGCTTCTGAGGATGGCACGGGCGAAGAAACGGCTGCTGCTGCTGTCGAGGCTGCAGGGGCAGGTGCTGCTGCCGTCGGTGATAGCCAATGGGCAGATAGACTGTGCTGACGTGGAGGCTTTACAGGAGCAGCTGGTGCTGCAGGCGCATCTGCCGTCCATCCCGCTGCGCCTAACGTTTGCCCTGTGAGGAGGGGGCTATTGGCCCGATGGTGATCATGACACCGCTGAGAGATGATCCGTGGGGAGCTACTGCTGTGTGCAACTTTTTCAGAAGCTGTGGCGGTGGCAGCTTCTGCGGGTCTTGGGGGGAAGGAGAGGGAAGGGCTAGAGGAGGAATTTCACAACCTACAAGCTCTTCTGATCAACATGAAGGGGCGTTCACACCTCTGGACTGGATTCCCTTGAAACCCTCCAGCACTCCCCCATGCACACACACACACACACACACACTCCCTCACTTTGTTTCCCTCGCCTTTACTCTTCTTCCCTCTCTCTTTCTTTCTCACTCCTCTCACCCCACCAGGTCGACTCACCCCTCCACCTCTCTCTATTCTCTCCTTTCAGCTTAGCCTGGTCCCAAAAACGGGCAGCCTAATCTTTTCATCACCTCCTGCTTTTGCTTTCATAAGTGGCTCCTATCCTATGCCCGTCCCACATGGAGGCCCCTCTGGTGCTCCAATACAGCAAGTGTTCGAGCACTTATGAATGTAAAAGTATGAGACTGTAAAGACAATTGCTTTATTGCGCCATCCTTTCTTGCAATTTTTGTGAGTGGCTTTAGAATGCTGCTGCTTGCTCTTCAGCTAGCATATTGTTTTTATTTATCTGGGATCACAACACACTATTATGAGTACAAGTCATTATCGTTAAAAGCACGTTCAACAGACCAACACCTACAGAACACACGATGCAGGTGGCCCAAGCAGTCCAGCAAATGTTTCAGTTGCTGGTTCGAGGGGTCGTATATATAATAGGGTCGGACGCGGCTGTATGGGTTCTGGTCTGGTGTAGCATAGATGCAGTACGGTTGCGAGTTCACTCCTGGTAAATCCTTGCCGCAATTCTCTGTTCTATCATAACTGTTGCCAAACTGTGGTACAGCTAAAACCCTGAATGGAATCACTGAAATTGTCGTCAACTGTGAAATGTTTCACTTGACGATGCGCTGAGACATTATGCCTGAAAGCAAGAAGCCGCCAAGACGAGAAGCCGAGACCAGTCACCACAGACCAGCTCACATGCGAAGGAGCTCCGAGCTGCCATCGGCCCATGCGAAGAATTTCGACGAATGGAGTGGCGGTGAATGGAAGGCGATGATTGGAGTGGCGACGAATGAAGCAAGGCCTAGCCTATACCAGGCCCTTCTGGCAGTGGCCGCTACTACTCGTGAAATACACAGCATTTAAGCACGTCAGCTCACGTCACGTCTTGCCACGTGACGTCAGGCAGTGGGTCGTGTGAGCAGAAACGCCACGTCAGTCTGTCAGGAACCAGCCAGCGTCAGCTCGACCGCGACCGTCAAATGGACGGCAGTGACGACGGCGACCGTCAAATGGACGGCAACGACGGCGGCGACGGTGACTGGAATGACGAGCCGGCGCCATCAATCTCCACCACAGGTCCTCTTATCCCTGCATCGCTGCCGTCCGTTTCCATGATACCGGTGCTTTTTCAAGGAGTGAGGGTATCGCCATGGCACGACGTTCCCCTGTATCCAGCCGACGACGAGGAATTAGGGTTGGACCCTTCGTTGAATTCGCACTCGCACTCGCACTCTGATTCGCACGCGCTCTCTGACTCGCCGGGTCCAGCTTCAGACCTGGTCGCGGAGTCGCTGGAATCGAGCTCGCAGCTGTCGCACGTTTCTGCGACGTCTGCGACGTCGTTTCGAATGATCTGCACGAACCCGGCAGGCAGGCGTCGCGTGCACGTGATCTCGCCAACGGACGGTCAGATCGTCGCCAGCTGCTGCGGCAATACCGAGGGATCTGCCACTGCTGCTGATTCTGCCACTGACTCTGCTGCTGCTGGGTGCAATGATGACGCGAAAGGCTTCTCTTCTACGGTGGTGGATTTCCCCTGGAATTGCGGAGTGCTGCCGCAGACCGCCGCTGCCTCGTCAGCGGCGTCGCTGTCAGATGCTGACGTGTTGCTTCCTGTGGAAGCCGTGGACATTGCGCCGTCCCGGCACTCAGCTGGAGATATTTATGAGGTGCGAGCGTGGCTGCTGCTCTTTACCAGGCCACTTGTCCTGCTCTGAACGACTTGTGTACTTTTGAGTCGACTCAAATGCAGTCTCTCTGCACTCGAACGAGCGAGGCTGCTGCTCTTTACTTACCAGGCTACTTGTCCTCTCTGAACGATTTCTGTACTGTCGCTTTTTTTTTCCTTGAAAATCCACTCTGTTTGCGATGATCAGATGCCGCGACAAATGCTCTCAAGTCGTCAATCCCTTGAACGCAACGCAACTGCCATCCTTGCTTTTGACTGCTTCTCTCCTCACTGCCACTCTTTAGGTTCTGAGCTCTCCTCCTTTCTTTCCATCCCGCATCGTCACCCCATCCTCCCTTTTCCCCTGCTGCCCTCCCCCACCGCCTCCCCCTGCCTCTTCCCTGCCTTCCCCCCCACCTGGTTCTTTCCCCCCCTCGCCCCACCAGGTGCGCGCACATGCAGTCATCGCTATACCCAATCCCCTCACACTATCCGTAGCATACCGCCTGGTCGTGTCTGACGTCAGCGCTGAGTCAGCACCGTATGAGCTGGACGGTAATGCGCTCATGGCTGTGCTTCAGCGCGTCTGCGCTTGGCTGGAGTCAACTGACACGTGGCTGCTCTCCGGCCATGCTGACGTGGCAATGCAGGCCACTGTGGACCCTGACGAGGTGGCAAAGGTTCTGGATGAGACCCACGTGGCATGGGCTGAGCTGTACGTGCTATCTCAACCGTTCTTGCCCGCTGCACTCCTGCTATCACCCATACCCGAATACCCAGCACACAGTGAACCCATTGCAGCAGCAGCACCAGCAGCAGCACCAGCAGCAGCAACACTCCCCACACTCATTCTTGATTCCGCGACCTCACCCGCTCCCAGCTCCTCACTGCCTGATACCGCCACACTCCCACACACGCTTCCACTCCCACACACGGCCCCTGCTTCTAGGCCTGGCTCTGCACCGTCCCGCACTTGTGCTGCTGCAGACACACCAGCATCAACACATGCGGCAGCAGCAGTAGCAACAGGAGCAGAAGCAGCAGCAGCAGCAGCAGCAGCAGCAGCAGGGGCAGCAGGGGCAGCAGGGGCAGCAGGGGCAGCAGGGGCAGCAGGGGCAGCAGGGGCAGCAGGGGCAGCAGGGACAGCAGGGGCAGGAGGGGCAGCAGGGGCAGGAGGGGCAGCAGGGGCAGCAGCAGGCAGGCCAGGTGACGCCCGCTCATCGGGGAACCCTCCAGCCCTCACAAGGCGCAGCTCCACAGGAGGCCGCTCTGCCTCCAGAGTCGCTCTGCCTACAGGGGCAGCAGGGGCAGCAGCAGGGGCAGCAGCAGGGGCAGCAGCAGGGGCAGCAGCAGGGGCAGCAGTAGAGATGCCAGGCGATGACACAACCTCATCAGAAGCCCCTCCAGCCCTCACAATGCGCAGCTCCACAGGAGGCCGCTCTGCCTCCAGAGTCGCTCTGCCTACAGGGGCAGCAGGGGCAGCAGCAGGGGCAGCAGTAGAGACGCCAGGCGATGACACAAGCTCATCAGAAGCCCCTCCAGCCCTCACAAGGCGCAGCTCCACAGGAGGCCGCTCTGCCTCCAGAGTCGCTCACTCTGCTCCTCCTCACCCTTCCGCCTCTTTCCCTTCCGCGTCTCTCGCTTCCGCCCCCCACCCTTCTACCGGGTCATATATCAGTGTCCCACACAGCGGGGACGCACACAGCACTGGCGCATACAATGAGGGCGCACAACAGGGGGGCGCCGCGCAGGTGGGGGGCGCATACAGTGGGGGCGCGCAGGGCAGGGGCGTACACAGCGCCGGCGTACTCAGCGGAGGCGTACACAGCAGGAGCGGACACAGCGGGGGCGGACCGGGGGGGGGAGGACAGAGGGGGGCCGCATCCAATGGGGACGCACAGGTAAGCGAGAGGTGGCGAAGGGCAGCAGCAGGGGCACGATCCATGGCTGTTGGGGCGCAATCCGTGGCTGCTGCTGATGGGGGAAGAGGAGGGGGCAGAGGGGGAATGGGGAACGGAATGGCTGGTGGAGGGGGAGGAGGAAGGAGGGGAGAGGTTGCTGTAGGGAAAGGAGGGAGAGGAGGGAGAGGAGAGGGCGCGTTTGTGCTGAAGGGAAACATTTTGCCACAGCATGCAGCCAGCGTCACTCCTTCTGCTGCTGCTGCTGCTGCTGCTTCTGCAAGCTTTGAGCATGCAGCTGGTGCCAGCCCGGCCAGTGTTACCAGTGGTGCTGCTAGTGCTGCCAGTGGTGCTGTCAGTGGTGTTGGTCTTAGACCTAGTGCTGCTACATCTTCTGCTGCATCGTCTGCTGCCACTATCACTGCTGCCTCTGCACCATTCCCAGGGCCATACCATAGGCGGGCAGAATCGCACGGCGCCATACCGTTACAAAGCCACCGGTTACCAGCAGCAGCTAGGTCACAGGGAGCTATTCCCTTACAGCCCCCCCAGTCACCAACAGCTAGGTCACAGGGAGCAATACCGTTACAGAACCACCGGTTACCAGCAGCAGCTAGGTCCCAAGGGGCTATTCCGTTAGAAACCCCCCAGTCACCAACAGCTAGGTCACAGGGAGCAATACCGCTACAGAACCTGTGGTTACAGGCACCTAGGTCACAGAGGGCTATTCCCTTACAGCCCCTTCAGTCACCATCAGGTAGGTCACAGGGACAGAGCCACCGGTTACCAGCAACACGGTCACAGGGGGCTATAGCATTACAGATCCCCCAGTTACCAGCAGCTAGGTCCCAAGGGGCTATTCCGTTAGAACCCCTCCAGTCACCAGCAACTAGGTCGCAGGGAGCGATACCGTTACAGAACCACCGGTTACCAGGAGGTAGTTTCCAAGGGGCTATTCCGTTAGAAACCCCCCCGTCACCAGCAACTAGGTCACAGGGAGGCATACCGTTACAGAGGCCCCACTTCCCAGCAACTAGGTCACAGGGGGCTATTCCCTTACAACCCCCCCAGTCTCCATCAGGTAGGTCACAGGGGATCATCCCGTTGCATAGCTCCCAGTTACAAGCAGCTAGGTCACAGGGCGCTGTTCCGTTACAACCCCCCCAATCACCATCAGCTAGGTCACAGGGAGCGAGGCCGTTACAGAGCCCCCGGTTACCAGCGACGCGGTCAGATGGGGCCATACCGTTACAGAACGCGCAGTTACCAGCGACAGGAAGAGGGAGGGTAGCAGCAGCAGAACAAGGACGGGCTGTGGTGAAGGCAGCTTCAGAATGGCTGGAGCCCAGAGGGCGGCACTACCGAGCAGCTAGTGCTAGCTTTGACTCTGCTACCCCTACCACGACTGCTGCTTCTGGTCCTGCTGGGGCAGGTAGAAGGGTTGTGGTGAAGGCAGCTTCTGAGTGGTTGGAGCCCAGAGGGCGACATTACCGTGCAGCTAGTGCTGCCTTTGACACTGCCACCCCTGCCACCACCGCTGCTGCTGCTGATGGCTCTGCTGGTTTTGCTATTTCAAGTAGAACCAGTTCTGATGGCGCTGCTGCTGCTAATAGAAGCGGTGTTGCTGGTCCAAGTGCTGGCAGAGGGGCGGGGTGGGCACTGACGCGTTCCATGTCAGCTCGGGAAGGGCGAGCAGGGGAGGGACGAGAAGGGGAAGGCAGAGTAAGCGACCCACGGCCAGGCAGGGAAGATGAAGGCGAAGCAGGGCTTAACCCACTGTTAGCCCCCCCCGCGTCGACAGGGGGGAGGGGAAGAGCAGTTATGGTTAGTGGGAGAACGGCGAGCTCTCGCAAGCAGAGCCTGTCTATTGGGTGTGCCAGTGACCTCCTGCTGCACTCCTCGCCACATGCTCCTCGTTCCTCAAGCCTTGGACAAGATCACACCCCAGACCGTCACTTCCAGTACAATCACGTCCCAAACAGTCACCTCGTGTACAGTTCTCAACAGGCGCAACAGGCGTGTGGCCGGGGCAGCAGCCTGCTGCCTGTGAGTGAGACTGAGGTGGACGAGCTGAGCGCAGAGCCTTGCCAGAGATACGCAGGGAGCGGTGGGAGCGGCAGTGGAAGCAGCAGCTGTGGCGGTGGTAGTAGCAGCAACAGCAGCAGCAGCAATGGCACCGGCAGCAGTGGCACCGGCAGCAGTGGCACTGGCAGCAGTGACAGCAGCAGCAGCAGGGCATATTGGCAGCATGAACCCTTACCCTCCAGGAACCCTGCTAGGATGGCAAGGCACAGCGTGGACTGGGCTCATGACCACCACTTCCAGCATCAGCAGCAGCAGCAGCAGCAGCAGCAGCAGAGGAGGGGTGCAGGAGTGGAAGCGCGATCCGAAGGGCACAGACCGCCACCATCGCCAGGGTCAGCTGCTCGGCAGAAGGAGAGGGCGTTCCGACGTGCCAGCACTGATTTCAGTGACCGCACGGGCTTGGGCGGCTACCACACAGGCTTGGGCGGCAACTCGGGCTTGGAGGCAGCTGGACGGTCTTGTTACAGTAACCGCGGAGCTGTGACATCCTTGGGTGCACAGGAGAGTGCGGAGTTCAATGCACACGGCATTGCAGCATTTGATGCACAAGGGAGCGTTGCACCGGACTCACAGAGGGGGTTGGCATCACAAGTGGACGAGTCCATTCCATTGCCTGAAACCACTCTCCGGCAAAAAGAAAGGGTGTTTCGGCGAGCAAGCTCAGACTGGAGTGACCGTGGTTACTGGGAGTCTGGCAGGCAGTCACATCATGACAATCATGAGGGGTAATGTTGGTGTTAGCGATGGCAATAGCACTGCCTCTAGAAGCGTTAGTGGCATGGGTAGGTTATAGCTGAGAGCAGCAGAGGAGCAAGTAGCTACTTATCAGGAAACACGACCCAGAGATAAGAAGTCGCGACCCAGTTTAGAAGTGGCAATGGTTACTTTGCTGATAACCCAGTTAAAAGGTGGCAATTGTCACTAACCCCCATGAACAGAGAGGCAGTTTTGAATGAGGATGATGCATAGTGAGCAATGCAATATTTATGCCATGTCCATCCAAAAAGCTCGCTGCAAGTGTTTTCTGGCCCCCCTAGAGGTGCTGTGCTATTCTTGAAGATCACTGTAGTATACGGCTAATTTCTGTTTAAACTAATCGTGGTTGTAAGGAGGGAGCTTCCGCCTCACAATATCTGCCATCTGTCAACCTCTTTCACCAATCCCTACACACTTTCTCCACCGCGTCGCCACGTCACGTCCCGTGGACCACCATCAGCCGAACCGTCACATAGCCCCCTTGTTCACTGGACGACGATCATCACCTCGTCAGCCCCTCGAAAGCCGACATAGCCCAGCTCCTCGGTGAGCGGGAATTTGGGAAATCGGTGATTTCCATCCGTCCGTCTTCGATAATCTCGAGGTGGTGAGGTCAAATGACAGCCAGCCAGCCCAGCTGGGGGAGTAATCTCGAGGTGCCTTTTCCTAGAGGCACACATTTAGGCGGGCCGCCATCAGCGCAATGACGCTCGAGTTGCCACCAGCACGCAACGCAACACAACCTCCCTGACCAAGCCATCGCACATTGTACACATTTTATACGTGCGATGTAGTCCATTTCAGTACGGTTCGAAGCGTTGGGATGTGGTGCTTGGGGTCGCCCACGAGAGATGCAATCAAACGCCATGGCGTCTGACTGCTGACTGTCGTGTCGAGGATGGCGTCTGGTGGGAGCTGACGGCAGCCTCGAGACACGCCAGGTTGGCGTAGAGTCTCCGAATCTACTAAGCACCACTAGCGGTTTCAACGGTTTCATGTGTCGATGATTGATTAGCTCGAGTCGCAGTCAGTTCAGTCAGCCGTTGTGCTGCTGAGACCGCCAAACGAGCAGGATCAGTGAATCAAACGCTGAGTTGAATTGATGACATTACGATAAAGGTACTTCGTCTGAGTTGGCGAGTCCGACTTGCGCGTTACCCAAATTAGCTTTTCACTGTTGAATGATCTCACGTTGCCTAATAATACCCCTTCTGTTGAAGTACGAGAGGCAAAGGTAAACTAGATTCGTCACTTAGTCCTGCAATTTGATCGTTCCTGATACTTAATTTCTAGAAGCAGTAGCTTGGTATATAATTGGTTCCATTCGTCCAGCATCTCTTAGAACTGCTGCCGTCCCATCAACATGTCAGCAACATCTCTAGTCTCACGGCCTCAAACTGCTGGTTACACCAGCAAGCTATGTACCAGCACCGCTCGCAATGACCGCACACGTCTTTCAGTGAACCATGCTAGAGTCAAATTTCCTCGCCGGCGAGCGCTTCGAGGAGTCAATGTCCGCTGCGATGCCAACGAGAACACGAAGAATCATGGATCCGTATTAGTCGACGAAGAGTCGGCTTTAAAGGAGGAGCTCCGGAAAGCGACGCGGTTCGAGAAGCGATTAGAGGCTCAAGTTGGTGTCCCGCAAGAGCTGGAAATTTTCACGGGAGACGAGCTGCACTATGTAGAGACGTCCGATGGATGGCGACTCGCCCTCTGGCGTTACCTCCCATCTGAATCCGTGTGTATTTCTTCCGTTCCTGGTTTCCAGACCCTTCCGTTCCTCTCTTCTTTCTGCTTTATTTATGTACGAATGGCCGCTTCCGTCGCTTTGATGCCTCTCTTGCGTCAAGAAGGTCCGATTCACCGTGTGATGTTATTTTTTGTTGTTCTTGCTGGTGTTTGCGAATCAGGTTCCTCGGAAAGCTCATCCAGTCCTCCTCCTTTCCGGAATTGCCACCAATGCTCTCGGATACGATTTGTCACAAGAGGTAACTTCCCTTTCATTTTAGCCGTTGAGTAAGTGTCGTTTTTCCTCTGAGTCTTCTATGTTGCCTCTCTGATTTGAAGCCAGACTTTGTGTTGGGGATTCCAAAGAAGCCACCCGGGTTGACACGTCATCATCTGAACCCTGTTCTCCTGCAGGTGTCTCTGGCTCGACATCTGGCAGATCAAGGGTTCGATACCTGGGTGCTCGAGCTACGTGGAGCAGGCTTAAGCCAGTCTCCCTTCTCTATAGCAGGGGCGCAGGGTTTGTCATCTGCCAAGAGTTCTGCCATTGGTCCTATTGAAGGACCCCCTATTACATTCGTTAATGGTTCTGCAAATGGCACGATGAACGCTGCCATTGATACCGGAAACTCAGTTAATGGGTTTCCAGTTAACGGAGCTTCTACAAACGAGTACGCGAACGGATCTAGTCCGAGCGGCTCGGCTGTTAGTAGCAGCAGCAGAACAGATGGTACGACAAACGGCTCTGTGTTCACTCCGTTGTTTTCAAGTGATGACGAAGATTCAACAGCAGCTGCCACTGTAGCAACATCAACAGCAACAGCAACAGCAACAGCAACAGCAACAGCAACGCCAACACCAGCAGAAGTTCCAGAAAGGCCTACAGCGACAAGTTCGGATGCGTCAGAAGGTTCAGCGTTTCGAGCAGCTTATCCCGAACCATGCAGCAGCTGCGGAATTATTTCGACCAATTCACCCGTTCAGAACCAGCAATGGATCCGCAGGCACTCAGACCGAAGCTAAAATCCGCAGAGACTAGATTGAGAGAAGCTCTGGACCACACAAGCC